TGAATGCACCAACTATCTGCTTGATCTACGCCTCTGCTCTTGATTCACTTTGTGAAGGAGTTAGCAGCCACAGTATGAGCTCTCCTGAACGACAGCGTGTGCAGCTTCATCAGGGATGATCTGCATGTCCTTGGCAACACGCCTTTGGTACCAAGAAAGCATATTTCAAATTAGGAAGATCTAGCATCTAAACTGGCAAGACTACTAACATGTCTGCTTTGTAACCATGTTTACTGGTAAATAAACACATTTTAATTTGTGGTCCTTTACTTAATATTGAAATAGAGTACCAACAATCCAGAGAAACATTTCTAAAAGCATTTGTTTACATTCCATTAAATGTGTATGAGATTAATCCCTTGTAATCCATTAATAATTTAGATTGAATGAATGAACCTACCATCAAAACAATTAGTTAAAAGTATATAATGTGTATATTATGTTTTATATGTTGATTTCCCTCATTTCTGCCTATACTGAAGAATATGTGCAACCAAAAGTCTGCTAGTTTGCTTTCGGGATCCAAAAAGTCCAACAGTGAAATCATAAAAGTATCTAAAACCCAATTAAATCTCTCATATTTCTCCTTTTCAACTTTTCTTTATCCTGCAATTGGCAAACAACAGATTAGTTCATTAGTTCACCATTGCCCCCTAGGACTGCTCTTGTTTATACCCTTTGAATTTTCACCCTCATGAGAGTTTTTGCAACACTTCAATGCATTCAGTCTTTAGTTAGAAATGGGGTCATTTAGACCCCACTAGTGTTTTACTCTGTGCGCGGTACAGTGGGGTCGCACTGACCCCATGTACACTTTTATGAGTTTTTTTTTTTTTGTGCGTGTAGCTACAGGAACTGACTGTCTGACTGGACAACCCCCACGCTTCCGACCTTGACACCTGCCACGCTCCTTCCTGAGCATCTTGCTAAGACAGAGGGAGGGTTAAGAAAACATAAGGATCAAGATTCATCATCAGGCTCATCTGTTCAGTGTGGGATCCTCAGACTTTCCGCTGTCATTCAAAAATACTCCACAACGGAGTGAAAGGAGTGTAGAGTGTTCCCTATTTTAACCAACTTTTACTTTGAAGTAGTTTAGTGTCCACAAAGATGATTACTTACTAAAAGTCAGCTCAGGCTTCTCAGTCTGCATGTATCCACTAAAGAAAACTAGTTTTTTATTGCATTCGGTGGACAAGAGATGCAGTCTGATCTGAGGCAGCAGATTAAAAACGCTCATCAGCGACATTAATAAATTATGAATAAAGCTGTCACTTCTGATAGGGCATCTTAATTAATTAATGCAGAGCAGGTGTTGTCTGTTAGTGAGACATAAGAGTTTCAGCATTGATATTTTGAGCTCCTATCTCAATGCTGTCAGATGCTCTTTAGTCTAATTAGGAATGATTCACTTTTAATGTCTCACATGTTTTTGTGGCGTTCTGCTGCTGTAGCTCAACTACTACTTTGTGCATTATGAGATTCATTCTACACTTTCTTTTTTCAACCACTGGTTGTTTAAGGCAATCTGGATATAGTTCTCTGAAAGCGACAAGATATTTCATTCTCACAACTCCTTTGAGTGTCCTGACTAGTTAGAGTCCTAGCTATGCTAACAAGCAATCAAACAAGTGCATTTAACAAAGTGGTTGGTGAGTGTAAGTATCTTTCTGCATTTCCATTGACCAGAATTGTGCATTTTGGAAGTACAAAAGTAAGTTTGCTTCATGAAAACTTGTCAACACACGGGTCATAAAAAACGTTGCCATTCAAATGCGATGAATCCATAACTCTTCTGTAAAACCACAGACTACAATTTCTCCAAAACGCTGCATATATTGCTGCTCCCATGTATAAGGGGCTAGTTGCCCCAATGCCTGAATAAGACGCCGACGTCTCCTTGGCTGATAGCTGATGAGTGCTGAATTATGAATTTGTCTCATTTAGTGTTTACATCTGTCATTGCCATGATTCTTGATGACTCATCCATAACTCAGACATGGATGAGTTTTACTGAAGAAGTCAGAAGGCTGAGATTGTTTTTGCTCTTCATCTTCTTTTCTCATTTCCTCTAATCAGCCTCCATCAGTTGTGTCTGTATGGCTCCTATCCGCCTTAGGCAAATGTGACAAAAGTAGAAACTTTGAACAATTGCTGCAGAATTTAGACAATGTTGTGTTGCTTTCAAGTGAGCAAATACATATGAGACTCAGACTGAATGATGTGTGTATTTCACACACACACACACAAAAAAAATCAACTCATGAAGACAAATGTGTTGAAGTCTTCTCCACTTTGCTCATTTGTCTCTTGCATGCATACAAATCACACTGGAGCAGCTAAGTGGGTTTTCAGCAGCTTCTGCTTTCTCTGAAATTGATTTTTGTCAGCCTTGTGGAGAACGATAGTAGAACCTTTAATCACAGTGGCCTGGCAGGATGATTGGCTGTTTGCTTCACAATTACAGAAAGATTAGATTTTGCTGCTCTGTTCCTGAACCACTTTGAGCATGTCAGTGGCCAGCCCCAAAAATCACAATAAACCCAGCACAACTGTATTTAGTGAAAGGTAAGTTTGTCAGAGGAACAGAGATCTGAATAGATTTTTAGTTAAAGCTGCAAGCGGCATTGAAATGACTTTTGATTGGGCGGTGCTCTGGCCTTGACATTTGGAGTTGCTCCATCTTCCTGGTCGATACTGAGAGATTGGACAACTTCTTATAAAATGTGAATTATTTGACTTCAGCTTGATCAGTTGTATCTGACTCACTTTGAAACCATATAAATTTAAAAAATATTCAAAGCTTGGAAACTGCAGCTCTGAGGAGGAGCTTTGTCCTCAAAGGCGGAGCCAGGCCCACTCAGGTGTTGTACACAACCACATGGTTGCCACGGAGATAAAAGGATTTCTCAGACATACATGAAATAATCAAGACAACACTCCAGGTATGCGTTTAATGAGGGAACGACATAACATGATATAAGGCAAAACATCTTTTACATTTTGCATGATACTGCCCCTTTAACAACATAAAATATAAGTCTGGAAAAATTGGTTAATCACCTGACAGAAGTACTTTTTTCTATTTTACATCCATGTCAAATTTAAGCAACAAAATAAAAAAAATCCTAAATTTACAAAAACAAATTTCAAAATGTAAAAAAATGTATACAAACATGCATGTGAAGAACAATTTGGTAAGTTTTCTTCATAGCAAATATCCGTCACTATCCTTTAGTCATTGTCTGAGTTTGCTGTAGGGAACTGTTGTTGAAAACCGGACAGGTCAGTTGCACCTGTGAGGCAAAATCACGGATGTTTCCACCTTACGAGCTCACAGACAGACCGAGAAACCTCTGGCTGAAGAGCGGACACAATTTTTGTTGTATTTCCGATGGGCAGAGCACATTTTTTGTCATCTGCGTGTTTGCACACCTCAGCATGTTGTAATGTGTGCTTTGATTTCTCTTCAGCTCCCGCGTATTTAGCAGGAATTAACATAATTGTGGTTAATTACCACAAAAATGGACTCATGGGTTCATCTTTACATTGAGGACAGCGGGGAGAAATGAACTGATTCCCTGTGGATCGCTGCGTCCGCCACTCGTCTCCTGAACACAGTTAATCCCAACATACTTACTTGTTTGAAGCCCAGAAAGATATAATACAATTGCGTGCATTTCAACAGACATGTTAGTGGAAATTTCGACGGGCACATGCTCAGCAGAGAGCAAATACTTTCCACTTAGTGAGCAGGATCAAGCAGTGTGTCCATGACAGATAAGCAAGTCATTAGCTCCATGCTTAAACTGTCATATTTAATTATCCCATAAAGGATTTTAATTCACTGGACAATCCTTGTTGAGAAGCTGTGCCTGACGCCACACACTGAATTACTAAATAGAATAAAAAAGACCAACTGTGTTTTTAACACGTCAATAAGAACTGATTCTAATGAAGAGCTTTGTCTCTGGAGTTTTGGCTCAAGAAAAATTATTTCAGGAGTTTTACATATTTGTTGAATCTGTTGTGACATTATGGTATGAAACAATCTGTGAATCTCCCAATGCTAACTAAAACCAACCAATCGGAGGCAGGAGGCGGGTCTTAGTGCTGTCAATCACCCTCCTATCTTCTCCCCATCAGCAGAACCTGTTATGTTAGTCAGCATGGCCGCCGATGACTGAGGATTATTTGTTTTCCTATTATGGTGGTTTGTTTCTCCATTGTTAGCGCATTGGGACGTGTGAACATGAGGACTGATGGACATCATCAAGTCCCTCCGCCTGGCTCTGATTGGTTGTTTTTGGTCGGGAGTGGTGCATTTCAGGAGCTGGAGGAGCTCAAGCGTTTCACAGATTATCTGTCTCCTAACATAATGTCAGGACATGGCGACAGTTTCAACAATTGTGTAAAGAACTCATCATTTGCACACAGCTCTCAGAAACACAAACAGAAAACAGCTTTTTTTTTTCCTCCTATTTTCTAAGAAATAAGAGGACAATAGATTTAAAAACTTTTATCAAAACATCTTCTGAATCTAGTGATCATCTCCAGGGTGTCATTCTCTTTTCAGAACAGAGCATGAATAGTGATGTCAAGGTCTGAAGTCTACATTGTTTCACACTGATGTGAATCTACATTTGCTTTTACACAATTTTTCTGTTTCTTTTAAAGGCATTTTTGCTCTGCTTGTTAAGATTTTCCATTGTTCACCTGAACTTGAACTTGTTTGTCTTGAATGGATGTTTCGTCAAACATTTGCACGTTGTCGCTGCTGCTGTACTTCTACAGTGTGAGGATACAGAGAGAAGCAGATGATGAGATACTTTCAGACAAAGACAGAAAGATTAGGAATCAAACAGTGACTTAAACAAGAACGACAGGCATCTGTATTACCAGGGAAGGCTGGGTAATAATCACACATCATACACAGAAGTAGAGGCGAGCAGATCGATCCAAAATATTGATACTGATAACAGTGTGCGTGTGTGTTGCAGGTACCATGTCTGTGTGACCATCCTCATCTACTTCCTGCCGCTGCTGGTGATGGGCTGGGCTTACCTTTTGGTGGGCCTGAACCTCTGGGCCAGCGAGATCCCAGGAGATTCCTCTGACCGCTACAAGGAGCAGCTCACTGCCAAGCGCAAGGTACCCTCAGTCCCCGCATGTCTGACTCCTAGCTACGTTTTTTTAAATTTTTATTCATGTCTGTACTTTCCATCCTTCAGTGGCTGAAAGTCTTGCTGCGTTTGTTTTGTTTTGAGATAAAATAATGATGCTTGTAACCACAAAACTGAAGCCGGCGCTCGATGCTTTCATGTTGTGCTGCTGGTGCTTTTCAAGCCCACCTGTTGTCCGTTCCTTTCAACTAACCACTGCCACTTTACCTGCTGCTTTGTTTCAGCCCATTTTCACCAACATACCTGGTACTTTCTTTGCAGTCATTTTCACAGCCCTTTCTTTTACCAGTGTCTTTAAAATTATGGATGATGGCCTTGCATAGACATGGAGAAATTAATAGACTTTTAGATTCTTGAAGCGCTACCCTGGTTATACTTTTCAAATGGTTATTTGTTTTTAGTAAAGTTTAGTCGTCTTTGACTGCACATACTTTTCCGGTCAGTAAAGCACTGATCCACCCTCTGCTCCAATGAACCAGCCTCTCACATCTGTTTCACCTCTCAGTATTATTTTCAGGACATTGACAGTCAACAGAGTCAGCTGTTGTCTGTTCTTACTAATGAAGCCCCTACGGATGTAACATTTTCATTTTGCCAGTGGAGAGTTCAAACCAACAGAGATTTTCTCCCTCTTATTTATTTATTTATTTTTTGTCTTGATGGCAAGTTTTGCTGCAACCTGTTAGGCAAACCCAGAGGTTTGTCTTTGGAAACAGAGTGAGAGCTGAGTCCTGAGTGGAGAGAAATCAATGAACCACAGCTTTTCTTGTACAGAGCCAATTACAGCATTAACAAAAAACTAACAACACCAGCAGTAAAGTTGTTGACAGTAATGTCTCTCTTCTTTATACTCTTTATATAATATGTAGTATTATATAAAGATATAATACAGTAGAAAGCAAAGGTTTGGGTTCCTGTTGTCAGCAGACTAAAGTCTCGTTTACGTGAAGCAGCTCTTCATTTAACCTGCAGGGTTTTTTGTTGCGATCCATCCTTTAGTTTACATACCGGATACAGGAGTCACTCACACTCAGCTTTTGAAACCAGGTCAGAGTGGAAACACAAATGCACAGAACAGGATTTATTCACAATCAGAAGACAACAAGTAGAATAGCGGCTAGGCTTTTGCTACTTAACCTGGTTTGATGAGCACAAAATCTGACAAGGAACATGTTAATTGAACACTTTGTTCATGGGAGACGGGTTACTGTGTTAAATGAGGTAGAAGCTAAGAGTCAGGAGTGCAAGAGCATTCAGTGACATGCTAAAATGCATAATCTAACAATCTAATGGCCTGGCATGACGACAGCTGACCCCATCTAAATATGGAGCCTTTTCCGAATCAGCATCCGAAAATACCATCAGATTCCAGGCAACGGTCTCGTGTAAACGTAGACTAACTCTCTGAAGGAAAGGTAAACAGTGACGTTGGGACGGTTCTCTATTGTTTGTTCCCTAGATGTTCTCAATCTTTCCAGCACTTCTGGACGTAAAGTCCTTTGCAACGTCAAGGACCGTAGTGGAATCCTCAGTCTTAGTGTGAATGCTTGCAGATCGGCTTTTTTCCAGCCCAACAGGATCTAAAGTTTTGGGTGATGATTTGGTTGCACAAAATAATTTTACATCAACACAGGATGTAATGGGTGCATATAATTTGAGGCTTAACTGTACATGCAAACTGCTCCTAAAAAGGCATCTGAAAGTTATCAGTAAAAGCAACCAGACTGTTCAAATCAAGGGTTCCAGCATTTCAGGCTGTGTCCTGCTGCAGAAAAAAGTTTCCTGATGGCCCTCTCGTGCCGTCTTTTGTTCAACAGGTGGTGAAGATGATGATTGTGGTGGTGTGCACATTTGCCATCTGCTGGCTGCCCTTCCATGTCTACTTCCTGCTGCACCAGTTCTTCCCTGAGCTGTTTGAAGAAACGTACATCCAGCAGTTTTATCTGGCCATCATGTGGCTGGCCATGAGCTCCACCATGTACAACCCCATCATTTACTGCTGCCTCAACGACAGGTTAGTCAGCACCTCCGCACATGCAAATCTGTTATTCATACCTCATTATCATTGAGCCTCATATGTTTACCATGCAGTCTCAGTGAACACTGATTTGAAAACAGCTTGAAGGCGAACAGATTCCCTCACATAGCTTTGTATGTTTGTGGTGGTTATGATTTGGTCTGTGCGCTTCTATAAAGAACTCTGAAGGATGCTCTTCAACTTATTCATAATGAGTTTTTCAATACAGAAAAGTGGAATCTCATCTCAAGCAAAAACGACAATGTTTGCATTCATTTCTTTTGACAGGAAAATATCAGAGCAGCTCTTTCAAAGCAACCAGCTGATCTGAAATGTTGAAGCAAAATCCTGATTTCCAAACGTTGAACTCTTGATGTTTCAGCTACAAATCAGAAACAAGTGAGAGTTGCTAAATGACCCGAGTGGCCAAGCTTATTCAGCAAATGTGGCTCCATCTCCCTCTTAGTCCATTAACTCTCCTTGGTAAAAGCCAAAAACTACATCAAGCGAGCGTTAAAACTTTTTTTGGAAAATTGAAAACGTTATTTCAAACATTGCCATTTCCACCAATCTTTATTAATGAGATCCATCAAAAATGCATATAAAACATTGATGGAAACACAGTTTATATTGTCCTGTGAACAGAGCAAGTAAATAGAAGTCACTATTTATATTTGCCTTTGATTGCAGTTGATAAATTACACATATGCCACTATTGAATATGTCTTTTATTTTAATGTCATAAGGAGATACCTCAGGTAATTAGGATTACGCTTCTCCATGACTGGTGCTGTAGCATGCACAGTTTGATCACCAGGTTTTTAATTATTATCAAATGCCGTGGCTCTGTACTGATGAACAATGGCTTCATTTAAGCCGGATTAGAACACTGAATTCATCCCAATGCACACTCACTGTACACAGACGGGTCTATATTCACTTCAAAAACTCAAAACTTGCTCTACGGATGACGATTGCTCACATTTAGACTCATGTCATCCACAGCACACACATTTTTTGATATACCAACATACACTCCACGACATGAAAGACTTCAGCTTCAGCGACAAGTTGCTGTCAATTCAGCACGACAGACAGAGAGAGAGAAAGACAGACAGAGAGAGAGACTGCTCATGCTCACTTTGGAATCACTTGTTCAGGAATCTGTCAGCACCCAGAAAGCTTCCAAAAACAGAAAGGGGATAGGATAAACACCAACTTTCTAAATGATCTCAGGAGCTGGTTAAACGTGAGGCGTGGGCGTTGGGAATGTGGCATCCAACTTCTGAAATGTCCGTCCAAAGTCTTGATTCTCTAGCAAAACACAGACAGATGGTCATCTCTGTTGTCTGTAATTGTCGCCCGTTGTTCTCTCTTCCAGTCACTTGTCTTTGTGCAACTGGTGAAATGAGATTTCACACTTAGTTGTGTTCTCCAAGGAAATTCATTCAGTCCTAATAAGGCCGACATGTGGGTTGGATCAGCCGAGGCTGAGTCACTGTTTCCGTCCAGGTTATCAGCAGGTTTTGGCTCATTTCAAATAAAACCCACGATCCATCAGAATCCCCCCCACCCCCCTCCCTCTCACCACTCTCTGTCAGAGGTGGGGTTTTTTTTATCTTGCCATCCTTTTTTACAAAAAACCCCTCCCTTCACATCTTCTCTGACTCTGAAAACCTTTGAAATGAAAATCATTTCTGAATATTGTCTGATTAAGTGGAATGTCAGTTATTTTTGTCTCTTTTCTAACAGCTTCACAGGTGTTTGCAGACACAGGGACGCTTTGGTCAGACCGCTTGTGCTGACAGACAGTTGGAGAACTGCTACTGCCATTTATTACCATTTTTTTTACTCATCTAGTGAACTCTGTACAGTAGTGATTCATCAAGATGTTGCTAATGTAAACACCGTGTCCAAGTCGTCTGCCTGTGCAAGTTAACATTTTAAAGCTTCCTTTCTAAGCCTCTGGATTATTCCAGAGGAGGAATAATCGTCCTCTGGGTCCAACCCAACAAACCACACAGAGGTAGTGGATTCAGAATGAACAAATTACTGTTTCATTCATTTAAATAAAACTATGGGAACCAAACTGACCACTTAAGTTTGACAAAAACAACAAAGAGGTCTGAAAGGACCCAAATGTGTTTTAACATAACGCAAAAGTTTGATGGACCGAGCTTGTTACGTATTTTGAATGTTTGAATGCATTATTAACTATAATGTTGAGCTCAGTCTTTGTAATGAGCAAGTCTAATATTAATTTATTAATCTGGGATTAACGAAGTGAAACCAAATCTGATGGTGTTACTTACTTGGGTGTTATTTTCAGTTATGAAAATGTCGGTGTTTTAAAGCTTCCTCACAAACTCTTTGAGTAATCACTCACTGATTGGCCACATCAGGCCACCCATGCTTCCATTTTATGGTGTTATTGTGATTATTATCTTACCAAACAAGTGTCCCTGTCCACAGCCAGAAAAGCGCAGCCCAGTAGCAATTTAGAGCCATTGTCCAGTGAGGACATTTCATTTCATCCATTAAATTAAATATCTGGATTTTTAGCCGCTAGTTGGTCCATTATGCTCCCTTACTGCAGTAGAAGCATTTAAATTAGGCCATACATGTTGAAAGAAGCAGAATCAGACGGTAATCTCATTTGTGTTTTTCCACTGTAGGTTATGTGTTTCCCTCCTATACACACTTATAATTGGTTATTTGTCTATGAGATTACAAAAAACTTGGACAAAGGCTACAATGAAATGTCGTTTTAGATCACATGTGACGCCGTTGCATATGATCAACATTTGATAGCATCATTCAACTCAAAGTGCATCACTCACTCAAAGTGAGTTACAGACAACTCAAGTGATTATCTCCTCAGGAGATAATCACTTGACAGCAGTACTTCAAAAGGACTGCAGTGGCAGCTTACCGTATTTTCCGGACTATAGAGTGCGCCTCACTAAGTTTTCTTAAAAAACTGGAAACGTACATATTTAAGCCGCTGGCATCTCCGCCGCTCTCGCCTTTCCACAAGAACCCAGCAGAGGGTGTCCTTAAAAAACCTGCAGCCCTGCATGTCCAAAGCTGAAGCATGGACTCGTTGACGGTGAGTTTACGTGCAGCGTCTGTCGACAGCCTTCAACTTAAAAGCGGCATCATGTGAACTTCTTTGTGTGGTTTCCATGATGAGTTTAAAAAGATTTCTCTGCCATGCTGGTTGCTCGCATGTGCTTGTTCTAAATGAATTTCCTTTGATTTCCAATTTTGACCTCCAAGGAGCTCTTCCTGCTAACTGGTGGTTGAAGAAAAATACACATTAAAGCCGCACCAGGCTACAAGCTGCCTGGTTCATTGAGAAAAAAGTACATTTAAATACATTTATGACGTTTGTATAATATGTCTAAAAAATACAGATTATAAATTATATGAGAAAAAAGTAGTGGCTTATCGTCCAAAGAATACGGTAATTCACTAATTGTATTCTCTGTTTTTCTGCATCAGGTTCCGTGCTGGTTTCAAACAAGCCTTCCGCTGCTGCCCCTGTGTCCCTCCAGGCTCTTATGAAGGCCTGGAACTGAAGTCTACTCGATACCTGCAGACTCAGACCAGCGTTTACAAGGGAAGCCGGATGGAGACGAGCGTCTCCACCGTCCTTCATGCCGGGGAGGACTCGGAGCATCCCAAGGTCAAAGTTAGAGGAGGTCTCGGATCAGGAGGGGCCGTCGTTGGCATGCAGCCGCACAGTTCCTCCCTGGAACTGACTTCGAACGGCTCGTCATCAAGGAGTGTCTCCAAAACCGTATCTGAGACGTCCAGTTTCTTCTCCAGTAACAACCTGCAGGAATAGTCCCGGTTTTCACCAGACCGTCGTCAGAGTGCGTGAGTTGACTGTTCACACGGTTGCTTTTGTCCTTCGAGGGATTCGGGCGCCTGTCAGTTTCTGAGTGTGTTTTAAAGGATCGTCATCCTACAGACCTGGGCCCTTATTCTCTGAGCACTGCCATCAGCCACAGCCCTACTGAAGAAAAAAACTAATTCAGAAGGATTCATGTTTATCGTACACCAGAGCCAAACGGCAGCAAATCAAGATAAGCACATTCCAGCTTGAAGGCCAAGCAGAAGCTGAAGCTGTCATCTCCCATCTTCACAGCTTCTGATCGTCAGCACCGCTTCCTCTCAGTGCAGAAAAGAGGGGGCGGGGCTCACACTTTCTCGATCACACAAGCCATGTGACTTCACACTGTCTTTTTTGGACCGGAGCTGCTGTATAGTGTGAGACCAGCGTGATGCAGGCAGGGCCTGGCTTTAACAGAGGGGCTTCTCTGAAAGATGAGAAATTCTTCACACGTCTAGCTGAGTGAAGCCGCTGACGACAGGAGAGCTCCAACGTTTCCACCGTGAGGAACAAAGTATCAATTCTGAACTTTAGCAGAGAATTTTGGCGGTTGTTGTTCGTGCGCGTGTGTGTGCATATGTGTGCCACTTGAACCGAATACTAATTCTTATCAGCCTGAGCAGGACCGCATTGGGAATCCACCATGCAGGATGTGTGTGTATCTCCCCAAAAGAGCGCTCCAAAGATCCCCTATGGGCTTTTCTGAGAAGTTCTGGCAATCAGTGCAAAACACCAGCAGCGACTGGCTCATCTTTCATCTGTCAAAACATTGACTTCAACAGCTAGCAGCACCGTTTTATGAAAACACAACTTTTTTTTGTGTGTGTGAGTCTGGAAAAGTAACAGCAGGATGGATTTAACCTGAATCCAAACTGCAGATCAAAGAAAACCATATCTCAGAATCCAACAGATCTAAACAAGGCGTAGAGCCCAGGCGAGTAACTCACCGGTTCAGAGTTCTTGGCACCCTGCTCAGTGTTTATCGAACACTTAATTACGGGATTAGAGTAGAGCGATCTTACAGACTGTGAAGGATTTACGGTGAGTAGCTGCTGTGTCTTTATGTACTTTGGCAGGATTATGTTTACACCAGACACTCTGTGTCTGGAGCCAACGTCTCCTTGCTTCTGACCTCCTGTGTTTGAGGTGTAGATGATGATGATATCTGCCATGTAGTCGTGTTTATAAAGTGTAATCTACCCACCCTGAAAGGAATATCAGGGCTGAAAGTCTTTGAGAATCTTTTGGCCTGGAATGTCAAGGATCTGTAGTGTGTAGCTCTTTAACATGCAGCCGTGTGCCTTGCTGCTTAGCTTAACGTCTGTGAGAGGCTGACAGCATCACTGCAGCAGCTCAGGCTGCTGTTGTCCAGAGAAACGAGGCTGTGAGGCGAGGAGCTGCAGCCTCTCAGACCGGGACAGTCTGTTACACCCTACAGCATTAACACCCACATTCATTTATATACATATAGTAATGTGACCGATGGGTTTAGAGTTTATGCTTTGTTGCACTGTTCTTACTCAAACTCTTAAAAAAGGACTTTAAGATCTAATGTAGTATAGTATTAATTGTTTAAATGTGATATCGATGGAAAAGGTTACTACGTTGTGTTCTTTGATTGTTTCATGTCTCATAAAGGATCGGTTTCATTAATTGATGCCTGAATGTTGTACAAATTTCCTGCAGTGTGTTTACTGGCTAAGTCCACAAGATTTACATGTTTGCTTTGTAAAAAAAAAAAAAAGGGGGAGGCAGACATTAGCTAGGCATTAGCTCACAAAATGCAGTGCCTCCAAGAAGTCTCAGTGAAGTGTTGATGTCTCAGATCTAGTTTTTGTTCACGTAAGGGAGATGGCTTGATGTTTGCATCTTTTTAGAAATTCTATTTAACAGATATAGTTGGCTTACTTCCTGTTTTTAAAGTGGGTACTGATGGCAAAATCTGAAACTGTCACGTAAACATCCACACATAAACACCAGAAACAACAAACTATACCGTTGGTTATTTTAAACAAGAATGTCCTGATTGGAATTTTTCCTTAAAGTTACTAGAATCCAATTCATGTATGTACCAAAACAAATTACACTCCACATTTAGTCGGTGTAAGAATATCCCAATTATAAGCACCATAACATGCTCTTTCATTAATCAAAGAGATGCGTCCTCTTCAGCAGTCTACAATGAACTCTTGTCTTAAACCTGCTAGTTTTATGCTACATAGCTTGCTAACTTTGTGAGTTAACTTTAGCATGCTAACTCACGGTTTTCACTGTCACTCTCGTTAAATGTGTGTGCACAAAATGTACAGAAAAGCAAAGTTCTTCAACCTCATAAAACTCAACAGTAAGAAGACAGAGAAGGTGACGTGACACAGAAAGTAGAAAAAAAAACTTTAGAATCTTAGTGTGCCTGGAACTCCCAGTGAAAATGATTCAATCTGCTGTGCACCAGCACCACCAGGGCTCTGACCTCCATCAGATATTGCAGATATTGCAGGACATCCACAGCTGTCTTGTAAATCTGGAAAAGGTTTATTACTTTGACCCCTGTGATATTGTTAAAGGTTTTGAATGTTTTTAGGTCTGTCTAGTCCTTGGATTACTGAAGCGAGTGCAGTGTCTGATCCTCACACAGAGTCAACCTCGTTCCTTGTGTGGGTTGGACTTAGCCAGGGTAGTTCCTTGTCACAAACGCTGTTTGATGCTGTTGATGGCACAGTCATTCAGACAAGGTGTCTGATTTGTTAACTTCAGGGTCTTGGAGTTTTGCAGATAAGATGTGATTCTGTTGGTGTCTTCCAGGACTGTCCTTCAGCCTGTATTTTAGAGGTTCACAGCCGAGTGCAACAGTCTTTGGTGCAGATAAAGTTTTTGATGGCGAAACACACAAACAAGTCAACATTGGAAGTGTTTCCTCTGAGAAAAATCAAAAGAAGTTCCTGCTGATTTTTTTTGACAAGATGTGATTCGCACATTATTAGACTCTATTTTCATCCACTTTTTCACCAAAAGGTTTAATAAAAGTATGACTTGTGCAATTATGTTCCCAAGATATGCCACTTCTCTGCTTTGAATGGAGTCTCTAGCAGACTGGAGACTGCAAGGGAAGGATATGTAGTTTTGTTTGTAAACTAAAATGAAAAAGGATTCCTCATCTCCTATAGATTTTTGATGAATGGTCTTGATGATCCATTCTGTCATCTGTATGATGCAGAGAAGGCAATTGTGTTTGCAGAAGCTGTGCCAAGAACCCTACTTGTTTCCACTGATTGAAGCTCTTGAAAATATCTTTACCATTCGTCTGAGGAGTGGGTTTGACATCATTACGTGTTAAAGTACACTGCAGCTCATCCAGAAAAGCTGCTACAGTCAAATATAACCCTCTTCAGCTCACTTTGTTCATAAAAAAAGCATTTGAAAACCTGTCTCTATCCTTGACTTGAATAAGAAAAACACTTCATGTTTTCTAACTGTTTATACAATTGAAGTGAAAGAAAATATTGTGCAATTTTAAATCTGACCTTAGAGATAGTACATCACTTGTTAGACCATCTGCTAGACTTGTTAGAGGTTCAGAATTATTCAAATTTAACCACAGAGGCTCAACAGTCTGTGCCAGGGAATAGAACTGGCTTTCTGAGGTGTTTGTTTTCCAAACCAGACCGGCAGTCCTGATGCCGCCGGCGTTGTCATGCTGCTCTAAGAATCAGAGAACTGAAGAGGGAAATATGTCATCTTTCAGTGTAATTATTTCAGTGGGTTAGCTTCAGAGTGCAGCTTATCAGCATAAATTGTGGCAAAAAAAAAACAAACATTATAAATAAAAATGAAACTGATCAAAAAGTATAACAAGTGGTTTGTTTTAAATATGTATTTTACAAAGTATGTAATTTTGGTGGTTATTAGCAGTTGCAAATAAAATATATTTCTAAGTCATTAATAATCATATTTAGGTTAAATTATGAAGTAAAAAATAGCATTTAATACCTAGTAAAGTACAACTAACAAATCCCAGAGATGCTGACTCAAGTTTCATACATTGACTTAAAGCTACAGTAACCACCCCTAACCATACAGTATGGATTTTTACATAATCCAGTTTTTACATATTTGTTAAAATAGATATGTGAAATAAGCTCCCCAGTCTTCTCCCAGTGCTCCCAGTATGAACTGCAGAAATACACCATTCAGTCAGAAGAAAGAACTAGTCCGTGCCAGGAGGAGGGTCTTGACACCGTCAATCACTCTTATGCTCACACACTCCCTCGTGCTTGTTGGTTCACCACAACATAGCCTGCCACCAATGCTAAGGCTGGTTAGCATGGCCAATGATGATGGCAGATAAATGGTTTTCCTGCAACAGTAAGTTGTTTCTCTGCCATTAGCACAATGAGCAGTGCCTTATGTGAAGATGATTGACAGCGCTAAGACCCTCCTCCTGACGCTGATTGGGTGATTTTGATCAGAAGTAGTTCTCTACTCTTTACACTGATTATCCGTCATAATAGATTTAATGAATATGTAAAAAGCATGTTCTTTGTAACAATTACATCCCGCAGCTTTAGCCTTCTTATCGCTTCCTCACCTTCCTGGAATACTTTGTTTTTTTGCTTCATGTAAGACCTCAAAGCTTCACTGGATTCTCAGCTTAACACCTGATCTGACTGTTGTCTGTTTATTCCGATCCATGGATTCACTATAAGTGACCTTTATCCCACAGATAAACTTCCGGAAAAGAAACCCTCCACTCTCCAAGCCGAGAGAGACTTAACCACACAGTCATTTATCTTAGATTGTCTTTGTTTGTCAAAGAAGTGACGCTATACAGAAAGGAGCCATAGAATTTGATATTCACCGATAGCCTACCATGATGTAACACACTCCTAGTATCAGCAGAGTGCAGCTGTCTGAGCCAGAGAGGAGTGTAGGAGTTTAATGAACACTGTAAACATTCCCTGCAGAAAACAAACCCATCACCTAATTCTAACCTTATCATGACCAGAGAGCCTGCACTGGCCCTGAGTCTGAATCTTGACTGACTGACTGGCTGCACACTGCGCTGCGGACGGGTCGAGTGGAGTGAATGATCGAAGGACTGAGGGCTTTAATGAACGTGTAATCAACTTTGTTCCAACGAGTGCTTTTTAAACGAGCGTCCTTTTCAGCCTCTGGAGCTCACAAACACGCGCTCTCGCCTGGTCACGGAGACGGAGCTTGTTGCTGAGGAGCGGCGCCAGGCGGCCTCCACAGCAGGGTGAATGGCCTCATCAGCACCATCTCTTCCTGGGTTGCTACCCATCCCTCGGTCTCCAATCACGCTAATTACAGCTGAGGAGGGGAGAAGGCAACTAGCCAGGCAGCCGCAGGAACGCACACACACACGCGCACACACACCGGCACACACCCAGATACCGGATGATGCATGTGCCAGCAGATCCTATTGTTAAGGCGTATATATGACACAGGAGAACACTGAAATGTGTGTTAAGATCTACCAGCTGTATAAGTAGAGTGTCACACAAGTTCACCTTAATTACCTCATCTGTCATGGTGCAAGGAGGAAATTGCTGTTTATAAAAACAGAGATTTTTTTCTTCCCAGCAGAGGAAAATCATGCTGCCAGATCCCCAAACAGACAGTTTTCAGGGCTTTGAGCCACAACTCACAAGTCAGGTCACTCTAACAGTTCTTAACGTAGAAGTTGTTGCTGTTGAGAGGAAACTCTCGGCCAGTCATTATCTGGATCAGCAAGGAGAGAAAAAGT